GATGGATGGATGGATGGATGGATGGATGTAGTTAGTGTTTAGCTGCACTAAGTTTTCAGTTTCAGCTTCTTGAGAAAATGTCAGTAAATTAATTCAGAACTGTTCATTTCAATTAAAAATAAATAAAAAAGAAGTTTCTCCAGTTTGAATCTGTAGCATTTTTACAAACAAAATAATGTTTATTTTCCTGAGCCTCCACCCTTTTCCTCTTGAAGCAGTCTCCACGTCTCTGCGACTCGGACTCGTTTGCTATGAGCAACAACAAAAAAAAAACAAACAACAAAACAAAACAAAAAAACATTTGCGTGAATCTTCCTGTAAGTCAGGGGCCCGGGGCCTCAGAGGTCGCGTCTCTTTAAATCATCCTTCTCATCTCGTTTCATCAGCTCAGTGACCGGCAGCCACAGCGAAATGAGATTTATTCCTCTCCAGCGCAGCCGGCCCCTCGTCTTCCTCCCAGAACTCGTTAATTCACCCTCCTCTTCATCGCTGGGGTTCTGTCAGCTGTCCGTTTTCATTTCTCCTCCTCAGCGTTCGACCGATCCCCTCGCTCTGTCCACTCAACATTTCTCTCTTCAGTTTCCTGCTCCTATTTTACTTTTAACACCAGAAAACAGAAAATCTGTTTGAAAATAGTGATTTTAGAGAGAAATATGAGCTGAGGTTTGTTYTTAAGGTCTTTTATTTTGAAAAAAGACCTGTTTGTGCTGTTTGCTGGCGGGCGGTACTGAAGCTGTGATGTTCTGAGAACTGCTCGACTCAAAAACACAAAGTTTCTGCAGGAGATGAATCACTGCAGCGGCGCTGCTGCTCGGCTCAACGGCTTTGAAGAATTGTCCTCGTTTAAATAATGAATCACCTTCATCCACAAATATCATCTTCATCAGTCACCTGAGAGCCGAACCGATCCGGTCCCACAGCTTCCAGAACATGATTAGACTGAAAAGACTGGACCTCTGCTGGACCTGCAGAACCCCAGACCTGCTGCAGTGCCTCTGAGCAGCACCACCTGAGCAGCTTCCTGTTATTGCAGCTTTTTTTAATTCCACCTGAACAGGAAATGAAAGAGAAGGTCCGACCCGGCTTGGTCGGGACCAGTTCTGATGCTTCAGAGATTATCCTTCAGATGAGCTCCTTTATGAGAAAAGATGAGAATCTCACAGGTTTGATTTCCTGTGGAAGGAAGGAAACGCAGGATGTTGACGTCAGAAAACCTTCGCTTTATTCAACAACAACAAAACACTGGAGCTCCAGTTCCACATTCAAACTCACATTTATAAAAAATAAAAGTAGATCTTGTCAGGTTAACTTATTTTATCCAATGTTTCTGTTTTTTTGTATCACTCAACAATAAAAACTCTAAAACTCTGGCATGCTTGGGGGAGGGGCTTAAATTAGGGGTGTAAGAAAATATCGATACACTGAAATATCGCGATATTTCATTTTCCTGATACTGTATCGATATTCTAAAGCCCTGTATCGATTTTTTATTAAGGTTTAAAATGTCAAACTTCTTGCCAACCGTTCATTTTTATGTTGTAGTTCAGCCTCTGACCACTAGTTGGCAGCAGTGAGCCAGCCATTTGGCTCCTCTACCTCTTGAGTGCCAGAGAGTAAGGGTAGCATTAGCATTGTGAGTAAACATTAGCTGTGTCCAAAACGACAGGCCGGATCCTCCGGAGGACCCAGACTCCCCGGTCTCGGCAAGCCGGGTCCTTGGTAGACCAGGAAGACCGGAAAAAAAGAGGCTGTGAATTTGGACGGTCTAGCCTCCCCTCCTTACCCCGACGTACATCTTGTCACCTAGCAACTGTGACGATGCTAAACAAGCAAACTTAAATCAAAACTAGAAAAATATYAATACATTAGCATTATTAATATCACAAAAGTATAAAATTAACTTAAAAGTATCATTTGAAGAACTAATTGACCCRCTGWAGGTTCATGTTTATTTCACGTTTTTAATGACGAAAAAATAATATTTAAAAACATGTTTATTTCGCATTTTTTATGACAAAAATAACATGTAAAAACATGTCCATACAAATGATAAAAGTATTAGAATTACAACCGCTAATTTTTTTTATTTTTATATCACCATATTTTTATTTAAAATATATTCTTTTCTCTCTCTTCGTCCSCCATTACTAGCATAAAAAAATCTCCGGTCGGGCCGCAATGCATTATGGGATATGCTGGGCCGGGAAGGATCCATCAGACCWGTCCTTCGATTCGGGCCAAAGGAAGGACGTATTTGTCGGCCGCATCGGAGGAGTCTTCGGTTTTGGACGTCCTTCGTCGCGGTGCTGTGACGTATGCGGCCGACGAATTTGACCTTCGGAGGACCCGTCCTGCCGTTTTGGACACAGCCATTAGCTTTTCTTTTTTTTTCAGTAAGAGGTTTTTAATTAATAGAATTTTTGAACAAAAAAAATCGCAATATATCGCAACATATTGCCTTGCTTACAGTATCGCAATATATCGGGATATATCGTATCGTGACCCCCTGTTATGATATGTATCGTATCGCCAAATTCTTGCCAATACACAGCTCTAGCTTAAATATTTTCATTTTGTTGAGGAAAAGCTAAAATACTTTCAGAACACTGAAAAAAAGTATTTTAGAAACTAAAAGTAGCACGTCCCATGACGAGGAGCAGAGGACAAAAGGACAGATGAGACGAGGAGGACGAGGAAAAGGACAACGTCTCAGAGGAGAGAAGTTTTAATAAGAACAACCTGATTAAATTCACCCAGAGCCCCTCTTTGTCCTGAAGTTTGTCCTTTAGGATCTCTGCTCTTTTTCTCTTTAAAGCTGCTCCGTGCTGCTGTTTGCTGGTGGATTTGTAAAATTTCTACAAATATTTGTCCAAAGAATTATTTAAATTGCAGCTCCAAATCAAAACAAACTTGTATTTTCTTCACAAATTATGCAGAAGTAGCCTAAGAGGCGAATGAAAGGTTAAAAAATGTCACTGACACATTTCCATTATTTAGCTCGTTTCCATTAACATTTTTATTATGTAGCTCACTAACCTAAATTTTATTGAATGCTAAATGAAAAAAAAAACATGTAAATATTAATCCTAAATGTAAAAGTTAAATCTTAAAAGTTGAAGTTAACATTTAAGTATTTTGGAATGGAACGCAGCCTTTTCGATGGTGCTCGGCCCTTCTTAGGACATCATCATCCTGAGACAATAGCAACAGCTAGCACTTCAATGCTTTAATGCTGCTAACACTGCTAACACCGCTAATGTTGCTAACATCAAACTTGCAGTTCTGGCTGGTGTCTGAGCTGCACTTCAAACCTCTGGACCACAGAGGTTATTGTTTTTATGAACACATTTTGAATTTAGATTTGAAATATGGATGTGTGATGTCATCATCCTGCGACAAAAGTCAACACTAGCTGCTGGTAACTCTGGTAAAGGGCAGCTAAGACACAACTGGAAGTTTGATGTCTGGTAGGGAAGTGTTAGCAGCGTTAGCGTTTGCTTTTGTCTCAGGATGATGATGTCACAGAGAGTCACACACCAACAGCAAAGGCTGTGTATCATTCT